CCACAATTTGCCTCATATTTTATAGTGGAGGCCACACTCCATCTACTGCTACCGCTACTGGTTACCACCTCAGTTTATATATATCGAATAAGTAAAACATAAATCCATGCTGCTCCAGTCATCCAGGTTTACCAACTCAAGAGACCATCACAAGCTCACATACAAAAAAAACCTTAATGCTTGAAGAACAAGACATATGCACTAGTGGCATTCAATCTGACTATCACCTCATTCCGTTGCATTGGTACTCAATCCGACTACCATCCAGTCTTGCTATTTAGAGAGGCACGTCATCTACCACTGAAAGATCTCTTGATTGACGAGGCCACCGTAGGCACATCGCCTACTATTTGAAGGAATAGTATTGTTAAATTCTAAAATAAATTTTAAGAAAATATGGGCACCCGTGTTAAATCGATTACTCAACGTAGGTAAGCAAGTTTCACCGTAAGGAATCTAACAAAATTGCATTCATTTAGTAATGATCTTGCATTGACGAATTTGTGTTCATCAGTTTTTTTAACACATCAGTTTGTCTGTTAGGCCATGAGTCATGATTGATGGGGTTCGGTTGGCTTGAAAGCGAATGTTCGGGTGGTCACATATTGAAATGATTCCTTCGCTTCTTCACCTGTATCACTCACTGTATGGCTCAGCTGGTCCAGACAAACGGCGTTTTTCGCTGATTGATTTCTGGGCTGGTTTGGGCTGGCTGGTGCTGGTTTGTTGTGAGAGGAAAATATTGTTAGCTGGTTGAATAAGTCTGGTTGAAACTAATAAGCGAACAGAGTGAAAATGGGAACCGGGAAGCACGTCCTCTAATCTCTACTCCTAAGCCCGTGTTTAGTTGAGTGAAGTTTGGAATTTGGGCTACTGTAGCATTTTCGTTTTTATTTGATAATTAGTGTTCAATTATGGACTAATTAGGTTCAAGACGTTCGTCTCGTAATTTCCCACCAAACTGTACAATTAGTTTTTTTTTCCGTCTACATTTAATGCTCCATACACATATCGCAAAATACGATGCGGTGAATACTGTAGCATTTTTTAGGAATTTGGAGTAGAACTAAACACGGCGTAAGTACTCCTCCTATATATGTTTCTACTCGTAAGTAGCCAGTAAACTGACTTTCTCTCCCAACAAACTAAAAAGGCTAGCTAGCGAGCGAGCAGCAGTGTGACTGACGAGCAGGACCTCTCATATAGGGGAGTCATGGACATGGGAAGGACGGAAGGCAGTCAGGTAGGCAGGCGAGACAAAGACCTAATGCAATTGAGCTAGCGGTCGGTCGGTGGATTGTTGTATAGTAGGGTACGGCCATGGACGAGACGATGTCGTATTCCTCGTTGCTAAAGGAGGGCTGGGTGTCTGAAGCAACGTTGTTTTTGCTTTAATTTCAATTCCACCAAACCACACACACATGGTGCGACTTGCTGAGTGCGATCGATGCAAGCACCAAGCAGGCAGAGGAGCTTGTTTGCATCGGAAGCAACACTTCCTATTTGTGCAGGGCAGCTATAGGTAGCGCCGGCATGGTCCATATCCACTTACTTGCGATCGGAGGTGTTTAATTATAAAAGCTGCTGCGTACCTACTCCCTTTATCTCAAAATATAAGGTATATACTCCATCCATTTCGAATTATAAGTGGCTTTGATTTTTATTATTTAGATATGCATTATGCCTAGATATATTGCAGAAGTTATTCTAGTAAAGTCAACATGATTATATGAATAATATATACTATTATTTGAAATGGAGGGAGTACTTAATTTAAAATTTAAAATTTATTAACTTTAAGTAATAATTAGTCTGATTGTATGAAAAATATATACTAGTATATAAAAGTTGCTCAATAAGATTTGTATTTAGAAATATTTTCTAACAATCAAACATTTTATTAACATAAATTATATATTCTAGGAGAAACGAGGAGTCCCTAAACTTGAACGGTGGTATCATCAGGGTCCCTAACTCTAAAATTTTGATATTTGAATCCCCTAACCCATATGACAATGTCACTCTGATTCTCAACTCTCGAATTTTGATAATTGGGCCCTGAACTAGCTTGTATGACAATGTCATATGGGTCTGCAAACTTGCACCTTAACACATACATGGCGTTGGAATGTCATGATAATTGTGTGTTGACGAGCAATTTTAGGGACTTAGATAACACCATCCTACAACTTTAGGAACTTAAATATCAAACGTCGAGAGTTTGAGACCCATATGACATTACCGTACAAGTTAAGGACTAATTCAAGAGTTACGGATCAGGATATATAACACCATGATGCATGTTTAAAAAGCGCTAGAAAGCTTCAGCCACAGAGGGAGGAGTAATCCATTCCAGCGTCGTGGACAGCGGGCACGTGAAAGCGACGTTTGTACCTTCGCTTCCCATATGGATGCATAGTTTGGTATGCGAAGGTACGTACGCACGGCACGACAGGTGCAAGCTGCCAGCCTCTGTCCATGGTGTGCGTCGCCCCTGTCTTTCATTCGGTGATTCAGGTCTTGTCTGGTTCCTCACCCTGAGTTTACTTTTTATTCCATCAAATATTTAATATATGTATAGAGTATTAAATATAGACTAAAAAATAACTAATTACATAGTTTACGACTAATTTACAAGATAAATCTTTTAAGTCTAATTAGTTCATGATTTGACAAGGTGATGCTACAGTACGTATGTGCTAATGACGGATTAATTAGGCTTAATAAATTCATCCCGCGGATTACTGGCTGATTTTGTAATTTATTTTTTTATTAGTATCCAAACACCCCATGCGATACCCCATATGTCACCCGATGTCACACCCAAAACTTTACACCTAGATTTAGGTGGTGTTTGGATGGAGTGACTAAAATTTAAGAGGTACGTCGGGACGATGTTGCACGGGATGTTCGGATACTAATAAAAAAAAATAAATTACATAATCCGTTAGTACTCCACGAGACGAATTTTTTAAGCCTAATTAATCCATCATTAACATATATTACTGTAGCACCACATTGTCAAATCATAGACTAATTATGCTTAAAAGATTCGTCTCGTAAATTAATCGCAAATTATACAATTAGTTTCGTAATTAGTCTATATTTAATACTCTATATATGTGTCCAAATATTCGATAGAACAACGACTAAAATTTAGGAGTAAAATTTAGGAGTGCCATCCAAACACCACCTTAAACAAGCCCTCGGTCGAAAACTGGATGAGTGATCGAACAACTAGTGGTTCATGCCTATAAAAGCAGAGCAGGTGGTTCTCTGTCTATGTGGCCAGTTGATGAGATGAGATGACATCGACTTGGGGAGCATCTAGAGTCTAGACCTAGCTGTGGCCTATGGGTGTTTTAGAACGCGGAACACGGAACATAGGGCGTGTTTGGTACCTTCGGCCATTTTGCTTGCTCGTAAACGAGCGTAAAATTTTAGTTGGAATAGTGTTTTTCTCTCACATCAAACCAGTTAATAGTAAATAATTCACGATACGATACGGCCTCCCGAACAGACCGTTTGTCGTCCCTCCCCTTGCCTAGCTCGCTCCCCTCACCTTGCCTAGCCTAGCCTGCTCGCAAAGCTATCTTCCAAGGCATTTGTTTCCTTTGCCGTCGCTCACATCTCCTCTCACACTGTAGCTCGAGCGGAGGCTGGACCGGCGGCGCTAGAGATCGATTTGGCACCAGGAACGTTGAACCAACGGCGACGGAAGCCGATTCTGTGGCTGTGGAGTCCTCTTCGACGATGACGGAGGGTGATTCAGCACTGGGGACACCGTTTCGGTGGCGAAGGAGTCCTATTCGGTGACACTAAAGGCTGATTCGGTGATAGGGGAGTCCGATTCGATGGCGGCAGAGGTGAATCAGTGGCCGGGGAGTCTAATTCGGTGGCGGGGGAGTCAGCTAACGAGCGGGCGAGCCAACCTTGCTCGGGCAGGAGAGCCGGAGAGCCGATTTGGCTCACCTGCGCTAGCAAGTATTTTATTGCTCGGACGAGCAAGCTTGCCTGCAGGCAAACAGGCGAGGCGAGGCAACCGGCCAGCAACGGTAGTTTATTTTTTTCAATCAGAATAAACTACCAATCAAATTATTATTTTTTAGCTTCGTATAGGTCTAGCTCCGACTCGACACCACGCAAAAAGTATCAGTGGTCATTTAAGATTGAAGCCGTGTTAAGCTGAGACTGAGAATGACATGGCAGCTGCTCCACTGGATGAAGGATAAAAGCCCTGCTCGTTTGTATTATAATTCATATTTTTTAATTTGTTTTTTTAATTAGAATAATATTTTTTTCCCACAATTGGATCAAACCGTATTTCGATTTTTTTTCGAGAGTGAAAACCCGAAAACGCGCGCGCACGCGCAGCGTACGGCAGCTTGCGAAAGGACACACGGGGCACACGGCGCGCGGCCAGGGACGCCGCCGGCCGCCGGGCACAGCGCCAGGTTCAGTACTGCCTGCCCTGCCCTGCCTGGCATCGATCCCACCACCAGGCACCAGCGCCAGGTTTAACGAACCCTCGCATCGCACCGTTCGGACGATGGAATGGATCTGAAAAACGATAGTGCATGATCAAACAATTTTTCCGTTCCTTCACTCGATGGATGATGGATCCAGCCAGCAGGTTGATGGATCGGTGGAGCGCGGGTTGGGGTTGGGTTGGTACGCTGCGCTGGGGCCCGGCCGGCGGGGCCAGCGCGTCGGCTGTAGCGTAGCTGCCGCAGTGGTTGCCGTGGCTGTGCCGCGCATCCCCACCCCCGCACCCACGAGCGAGGCGAGGCGAGCGATCGGGCGTCAACCACCCACCAACTCGTTTCTCGGGTTGCTCGCCGCGGGGTCGCCATCGACGGACGCGAGCGAACCCAACCCCGGCAACCCCTGCCTTGCTTTAATACCCTCTCGATCGTTTACTGCAGCTCGCCTCTCCTCGCTCGCTTCCAGATCCAGCGGCCGGAGCTAGGCGGCAGGGGTGCCGGGGTGCCGGTGTAGCCATGACCATGAAGCAGCCGAGGGGCCGGCAGGAGCCGCGCCGGATGGGCAACGCCGCCATGGTCGTCACCATGCTCGTCTCCCTCTGCGCCCTCACCTACATCAAGGCGCGATACTGCTCCAACCCCTTCCGTACGTCGCCGCCTCTCCTCCTCCTCCTGCTTGCTCCAATTCCTCCTCCTCTAGCCTCCTCCTCATCCTCCAAATTCCAACCTGAGTACCTGACCGACACCACCCACTCACTGATTCCATCCACTGCAGCCAAGCCGGCGGAGGAGCTGGAAGTGGTGGAGGTGGACGAGGACTACGACAGCACGCGGTACAAGCTCTCAGGCCCCATCGGCGAGGAGGACTTCGACCCATCCCGCCCGACCTGCTACAACACCAGCAAGCGCTCCGAGCGGTGCGCCGCGGTGGGCGACATCCGCGTGGACGGCAACCACTCCAAGATCTACATCAATCCTCTGTCCCGCGAGTGGAAAACCAAGCCGTACGCGCGTCTGCACGACCCGGTGGCCATGGACGACGTCCGCGAGTTCACGCTCGTCCCCTTCGGTGGTGGCGGCGGCTCCCCCAACCACACCACCGTCGTCCCGCCGCTCTGCACGCGGAACCACTCCGTCCCCGGGTTCCTCTTCTCCAGCGGCGGGTTCGCGGGCAACCTCTACCACGACTACGCCGACGTGCTGGTGCCGCTGTTCACGTCCACGCACCACTTCGGCGGGGAGGTCCAGTTCCTGCTCGCCGACATCAAGGACTGGTGGGCCGACAAGTTCAAGCCGCTCTTCCGCCAGCTCTCCCGATACGACGTCATCGACGTGAACAACGACCAGGAGGTGCACTGCTTCCCGCGGATCGTCATCGGCTCCACCTTCCACCGCGCCATGGGCATCGACGCCTCGCGGACGCCGGGGGGTGAGACGGTGGCCGACTTCAAGCGCCTGCTCCGCCGCGCGTTCCGGCTGGAGCGCGCCGTGGCGTCGCGGTCGGGGGCGCCGCGGCGCAAGGACCGGCCCCGGCTCCTAATCATCTCGCGCAAGAGCTCGCGCCGGTTCGTCAACGAGCGCGCCATGGCGCGCGCCGCGGCGGCGGCGAGGTTCGACGTGCGGATCGCCGAGCCGGACAACCACACGGACATGCCAAACTTCGCGCGGCTGGTGAACTCGGCGGACGTCATGATGGGCGTGCACGGCGCCGGGCTCACCAACATGGTGTTCCTGCCCAGCCGCGCAGTGCTGGTGCAGGTGGTGCCGTTCGGCGGGCTGGAGTGGCTCACGCGGGTCACCTTCAAGGACCCCGCCAGGGACATGGACGTCACCTACATGGAGTACAACGTGTCGCTGGAGGAGAGCTCGCTCAGGGACCTCTACCCGGAGGACCACTTCTACCTCAAGCACCCCTACGACGTGCACAAGAAGGGATGGGACGCCATCAAGAGGGTGTACCTGGACAAGCAGAACGTCAGGCTCAACCTCACCAGATTCACCAGGACGCTGGAGCAGGCGCGAGATCTCTTGCCGTCGCCATGACTGATCGTCTCATCCCTATTCCCTGCTGCAGGTTTCACTTCAGATTGGGCTGGCTTCTTGCTTCTTGCATTGCATTGCATTGGAGCTAGCTGCTCTGCTGCTGCAGCCTGCAGCTTCAGCTTCAGTCAGCTGGTTGGTTAGATAGGCAGGCTCACTTCACAGTTCACACCATGTCTTTTTTGGATTTTTGTTCTATACTCCCACTTGTTTTCTCTTCTCCTTTTCTCTGTCCCTCTCTCCACTCTTGTGGCAAAGATTCATTTCTTTCATTGTTTTTTTTTTTTTTTTTCTGGGTAAAGGAGGAGAGGAACAAAAACAAGGTCTGGTCGTGTCCAAGGTTAATTTACACAAACACACACTGTAAATGATTGATTGTTGTCGGTAAAGACCAACACGAGCAAAAAGGTAAATTATTTGTCCATATAGCCCATCATCTGCCCATGTAGGGTGCGGTCCGATGTGATCATGACTGCCATTGGCAGGCAAATTTTTCCTTTGAAGATTCCCAGTAGCTAGGCATGCAAATGTGCCAATGTGGCCACATATGTCCTGTCCTGTCCTGTTCCCCTCATCCTCAGCAACGGAAGTTCGTGACAGGCATTCACTAATAAGGACTTGTTGTTTAGGAGGCCATCGCTTTATCTGAAAGCAGCATGATGCTTCAAGTCCTCGCCAGCACAGTCGTTAGCTTAACGCACCACGAACCCCCTGGCTTCCTTTGTTTCTCCGAGAAGCCAGTTTGCAACGAGTAAAACCTGCTTGTCTATATTTGCTAAACATGGCCGACCCTAGCTAGCCTACCGTTTACGGACCAAGGAAGAGGTCTTAAACAAGCCGCCATGGACGACCCAACAAGGTGCAGGTGATGCAGTGGTTGCTCAACTGTTTCCCACACGGAAAAGAAGGGTACGACAGTTGACAAGACCGTAAACCAACCGAAAGGGGAGTCATTTCCTTTCTCTCTGAGCCAACCAGAGACGTGACCATCAGACGAGATAGCATGCCATCGATCAGCTCCGGAAAAGGCCCACGCAACCGACCATGGCAGCATCCTGAAGCATCATCCCTGGCGATGGAACTCCTGAAGCATCGCAGGAATGTTTACACACTTCATCGCTCCATCCTTTTGGCATTAACAAGCATATTGCAAAAAGATATACTCTATGTCTAATCTAAGATATATTATAAAAACTGTGCATTTAGAAAAGTCAAAATGAGTCATAATTTGGAATTGATGGAGTAGTAAATATATTTCAGACGAGAATGATTAACCCAGACAGTCAGCAGAGGGAGTATTTTGAGATCTGGAAACAGCTCAGCGTCCACGACACCCTCCACTTCCAGAGCTACCAAACTTCTGCTACTTCCTCGCTTTTCACGGTGCCATCATTGAGCTGCGGAAGCCACAAAGAAACGTACTCCAAGAGCATCACATGTAAGCCAAGTACCCTGCTTTTAGGATGATAGTTCAGTCCTACCAGATCCAGGGCGTCAAGCTTGGAGCTGCTGCCTAGTGCCCCGAACCGAAGGGCTCATATAGACCTACAACTACAAGATCAACTATTCCAGTCACCTGTACATTCAAGAATAAAAAAACGGGCTAATATTAGCAAGTAATTGAGTTTCAGCTATAATGTATGATCTAACTTTTTATGCATAAAGGCTGGAGCTTCATTATTTCACTACAAATTGAATCTGAAATTCTCAGTTACGGATTAGGATGAATAAATGACAGCCGTGGAGAACATCAGCAAAAGCATCGTCGTCTGTTTGGCCAAAAACACAATGGTCCTCGGAACGAAATGCAGCTGTTCAACAGAAAATAAATGCAGTCGTTGAAAATACAAATTCACCCTTTCTTGGTCAGAGATCATTGTCTCTGCTTTTGTCAGGTTCACCCTTTGACAAAGTTTTGAGATAGACCTAAGTATTAGCTTTTGGAGGCCATCAATTAGGGTAGGTAATTTGTGCACGTTGTTTTTGGTCCTTTATGCTAGTCCATGGTCGGTAATGATGCTATCCATTGGGAATGAAGCTCAGACTTGGATACTGCTTTACGTGCTGGAGACTTCTGTGCAGCAGGGGGGAGGAAAGTGTGAGATAAATATATATTTAAGGTTACATTGTTCATACTAGTACTTCATACCAGTACTGTGGCCCTATCATTATCACTCAACACAGTGAAGTTTCAAGAATTCCCTTCAAAATTCTTTGGTCAGGTAACACATTCTTTTCTTATTCTTGTTTTGGTTCGGTAAAATGCGTGCGAATACACTGTGTGGGCGATTTCAGTGCGTTGTTGAAACATGAAAATGCCAACTTTTACTAAAATAAACAATAGTCCACAATATAACTCCCAAAGAATGTGGAAAAATTATAGTGAAATGGTGCACCTTCTCCTTTTTTTGCCTGAATATTTCTCCTTTTCATTCTTTATTGTTGTTGTTGTTGTTGTTCATTCTATATGTATAACCGAGAGATCCGTATCAACAACTAAAGCATGATGGAGTGTTACATCAGATGCTTGAATGCTTTCTTTAAGATCGAAGCTATACACTAGCAGAGTAACCTCCTCAAGGAAAGGACAATGGGTTAGGTAAAACAATACGTCATACAACAACAACAACTGCAGCATAGGCTTTCAGTCCCAAACGAGTTGGGGTAGACTAGAGTTAAAACCCACAAGAGCCCCAAGTCATGGTTCAGGCTTTTTTGGGTTTCATCTCTATTAAAATGGCTAAGTTTTTATATTGGCTTGCCGCGCCTAACACAACCCTCCTCCTTAGTAAATTAATGATGTGTACTATCTGGCTTTAAATAATCGTGGACCATAACTATACGATCTGGGAAAGAGGGGGAACATAAATAAAAGCCTTGCAGCAGTGATATTTTACTTCAATTTCTGTTTTCCCGGATTTTCTTCCATCCACTCCCACCAAAGCCAAAATTGGCAAACTTTGTTTGGAAAGTTCCTCTGCAGTGCACACCTTTTATGAACTGCGTATTGTGAACTTATGCTAAATAGATGAATTAGTCACGCTTCTTGGCTAGCAATGTAATATTTCATGTTGAAGTGTTTTCACCGTATTGACTATACAGAAAAAATTCTCAAATGCTGAAAAGTATCAATTATATAAAAGAAAACAGCTACCTTTAAGGGAGGTATAATCACAACTGATGACATTCAGATCAATGTAATGCTGCCATCTGAACACTGAACTCTAGCTCGGGCCTTTTCAGCCTAGAACAGTAAAAGACGCGAAAGAGTGGTTAGTTATAGCAATTAGAGAACAAAGTGATATACAGCATTCACATCAACACGGCACAGGAAAGCATGATTGGTAAGTGACGCCTTATAGCCTTATAGGGTATTATATACCCACTTTGATTAGAGGTGGCCGCCCACGTGTAGTAGTGGTAGTTAGTCGCATGTCCCAGGAAGTGAATCATACTAGTATATGTCTCTTGGACAAATATAGTTAACTCCAGGTTAAACTAGTGATGATGAAAATTGAAGCAAGGTGCTATGCATGAGTAGGCGTGCCTATCGTTAGTGGAGTGAGGGCAATGCTTCAAGCAAATTTTAGAACTGAGGTGCCACATGCATATTGCAATATAGATTCAATTTGTTCTAAATAGGCCTCCTTATCATGCCAAGGTGATATACAGATGACTAATGGTTGTCATGGATTAGTTTTTGAAAGTAGCTTAGAGAAAGAATAATTGCAATATTATTTCTTAGAGAGAAGAAATCCCAGCAATCTATATCGATTTTTTTTGGTGCCTCTCATCTGGGTACAGCTGTAGTATCTGCTCATGTATAGACACACACCAATCCTACACACGCACACCACACTCATACCACGCGTACACAAACAAACCTACAACTATACTCAGATCACTAAATTGCGTCCTTTGTGAGATCACCGGGTCCAACCATGAACCCGTGATTCTTTGTGGCTCCACCATTGATTATTGCCCGGTGAGAGACTGAAAATTGCTGAACTCCAAGGTCCCAACCACCGAGCCTTGCCACCCGAGCTATAGCGATTAATTTTGCATTCGGTTCCCCATTGATGCAAACCTGCTCCATGTGTACAGTCCCATGCCCGGGCTGTTCCCTCTCACAACTAAGATCCAATTCCATCAGTAGAAACAGAGAGCATGCATTCCGTTGATTGTAGCATAAGAAGTTGGGTGTACCTCTTCATTCCAGTTGGTTCGAAGCATCATCACAACCAAAGCAAATATTTGCACTGCCATCGCACATATGATTCCTAACCAAAGGCCCTGGCACATGAAGGGAACACATATCAATATATATCTTATCATAATTACATAAAAGTAAAACATAGTCGAACCTACCTTACCACCAATCTTCAGAATAAATGCAAAAGTAACAGCTGAAGGGAGACCAATAGCATAGTAAGCAAACAGGTTGATAACCGAGCATACTTTCTGCCAGCCACATCCTCGAGCTGCGCCTTAAAATCAAGAGGCAGATAATGAACATATGTCTGCCAGGATCAGTTAGACAAAGGATTACTGATATTATGATTGTGGAGTGTCACGATAGAATCACAAGTCTGATTCAGGAACTACCACTCTTGTACATAATACTTGTGCCGCTCTTCTTTTTTCTCAACCGTACCATGAGGTATGTATTTCATTAAGAGGAAGTAGAGTTTTTGAAAATACAAGGTTCAGAGGTAATCCCGGGATTACCATGGGAAAAATAGGAATTACAATAGGTTTTTTACATGATACTTGCACCGCTCTTCTTTGGTAAAGGGATATATGATACCTAGAAAAAAAAAGGTTTGGAACAGCAATGATCCTAATTTGGACTGTATGGCTTACTAGTGAAACCCTCTTACTTGTAGCATGCAATACCAAACATATCGGATTTTTCCCCCCTCTTATGACTTATGAGAGCATTGAGTGTGTTGGATATGTGATCATTTTTACATTAACCTGCTCAGGCGGCATATCAAAGACAATTAATCTACATGGATTGATGGCATCATAATAAGGCAAGCAAACCAACACCAAGACCAAATGGCCAAGTGATCAAACAAAATAAAAGCTAAGCAACTTTACAATAATGATATTCTGATTACAGTATCTGCGTATGAATTTCCCAACATGGAGCAGAAGTACGATATGATGCAAATGCTGTATACTAGACAATGCAATTATCCCAAACCTGATAGTGTGCACTGTATTCCATCCATGAAGTCAGAAGTAGCAAGAATTGGCATCATAATTGATACATGCTTCACTACCTCATCTTCATTGCTGTACAAATAACCCCAGACATCTCGCACTAATACTGTGATGATAGCTACAAAAAGGCCCTCAGCTAGGCACATGATTCCTGAAACATAAACTGATAGGCGTGCTGCATGTGGGTTCCCAGCACCTAGTTCATTGGACACTCTAATACTGCAAAGAAACAAAGAATCATGGGCCAAAATTAGTTAACCACAAGTTTCTTTTATCACAGAACAAAAAGGAGTGGGCACTACAAATTTATGCTCCTCTGACCTTATTGCACTGCTGAGGCCACTTGGAATTGTATAGACCATCCACATTGTGTTTAGGCTGCAAGAGTCAAAGTTACTTCACATCAAGCACTGAAAGCACCATTACTGATGCATGGTTGATGCACAAGAAATGGCTATCTCAAGACATGAGAAATGAAACCAATGCAACCACAGAGCGATCAGCCATGTTACAGAACAACATCGGATCTAAAACATTGATCAATTTAATAGAATTTCCGATTACTGAAAGGGAGGAGGCATTTCAAGTTTCATTTGCTTACCTGACCGACAAAATTGAAGTTTCCAGTTTTGGATCTGGAAGAAATCCTGCTAGGAGAACCACCATCTCAAATGCCCAATACTCCAAGCTGAGCTATCTTGCAAGTCAAATAACCAGTTCCATGCAGAAAGTAGGTAAAGGTACACATTACTTCTTTGCCAAACCATAAGTTAAACATTCAAAACTTATTGAAATACAAGTTTTTCACATGGTGCCCATATCAGGCTTACCAGGTCATAAAGGTAGATGGAATTGCTAGCTTTAGATATACTTTGGCATCCTTTAACTTCAGTGCCTCCCTTGACCATCCGTGCCAACTTCTTCTGCCATCTTCAGAGACTTTCACATACACAGCTAGCAATGCCACATTGAACCAGTAAGATATTGAGGTTGCCAGAGCTGCGCCTTTGTGGCCAAGGCCAAAACCTTGAACCAGCAACCAGCATAGCATAACATGAAGTAGCAAAGTAAGTCCAGAGCAAGCTACCAATATCTGGACAATATTTTGGGTCTGCAGGAATCTGGTAAGGCACTGAAGCAAACCATACGCGAAAAGGCCAGGAATCAACCACTGAGCATACAGTCCAGCTTCAAATGATATCTCAGGATTTTGACCAAGGGCGATAAGGATTTGGCCAGTGAAGGCCAAAACAAAGGCCAGAGGAACACCCGTAAGCACAAGAACAATTATCGCCCTTTGCGTGTGTGTCCCCAGCATGTCATATTGTCTTGCTCCGTATGATTGTCCACAAAAGGTATCCAATGCACTTCCCATACCCAGCTTGACATGGAAAATAGGAGCATTGTTTCCAATTAATTTACTGGTAGCACAGTAGGCATCACGCAGTATAGCACTGGGCACTACGCAATAAGTCAAAGCTCAAAAGTCAAAACTCATATGCCGCTCTTACTTCTAGAGTTCTAGTAGGTATAATTATGGAGCATGTGGGAAACTAATTGGAGTAATGCGCAAGCATTTACATAATCCGTACTAATTTTTGTTATAATTTCCTTAAACAACTAGCTCCTACAGTGTACATGTTCCGATTCACAATTTCACATCCCCCTCCCTGTTCTTCAGACTAATGCACGAGCAGTAGCACATACCGAGACCCGAGTTGCACAAATGGCTGAGTGAAGAGAGGTTACCACTGCACGTACCAGGACGCTGAAGCCGGTGACGTTGGCGAAGGAGGCGGCGACGGAGGCTCCGGAGAGGGAGAGCTCCCCTAGGTGTCCGGCGAACATGACGGAGACCACCTGCAGGCTGTACTGCAGCAGGCTGCACGCCACCAGCGGCGCCGCGAGCCCCACCTGCCGCCGCACCTCCGCCTCCACCGCGGGGCGTGGAGCGGAGCGGGGCATGAGGAGAGGCGAGGACGCCGCCTCCGTCGCCCCGCCGGCGCTAGCGCCACCCATTTCGCGATCGCGATGGCCTCACGGGCTCGGACCCCCGGGTTTGAGTTGACTAGCGAGTAGCGAGTACTCTCTCCGTCCAAGTTTATAATTGCACGTCTGGAGTTCAAAAAATTTCCCATATTAATCGGTCACGTAGGCCTGCAGCCCCAACCTAGCGCACGCGTAGATGAGACTTAGTGGAAAACGGGTAACCGAGTGACGAGAGCAAGATTTATATTATTTTATTTGCTCTTTTCATCCACGGATGAGCGCAAAATAATATATGGGATATTGAAATAAAATGATTAATAAAAAATAAAGAAAACTCCAGACCCAATAGAGCTAGCGATTAGGATTGAGGGGAGCTTTCTGTTCATCCGTTCCCCGTCCAGCCTCGTCTGTGCACAAAGTGATACACTTCATCGCACAGATGAGGCTCAGTGGAGAACGGGTAGTGAACAATAGAGTGGACGATAGCAATCTAGAGCTCCATTGTGTTTTCTTTCTTTCTTTTATTTTATTTTAATATCCCATCCGTTGCGCTCATCCACAAATAGAGCAAATAAAATAATATAAATCTTGTGCTGGTGCAGTAAACAGTTCACATTTTCTTCTCGTGGAAGGTTACCATTCTATCGTCAACATAGCTAATTTGATTTCTTTAGTGCGGAGAGGACTGCAAGCTAAGCCAAGCAGATTACCAATAGGCACAACTCATCACACGCAAGCTCATGATTCTTGTATGCTTTGATTGTGTACAACGGTTGCCATGGATAATTTGAAAAAACGATAGTGAAAAATAAAAGGACTCACTAATGATATACTATTTACAACAAAAGTGGCACTGCTAGTTATATACTATTTACATCAAGGCGACATTGCAGATTGAATGCCTTTATTCTATTCTATCCTGGTTGTCGACCCAACAACGAATTCTTGAAAATAAAGTCCTTTTCTTCTCTCAAATTGATCATGCTGTTCTTAAAGACTTGAAAGTCATGCTTTTTATATTATTCACACCAATGGGCTACTAACATACCATTCCATCGATCACCAGCTCCTGCAAGTCACAAATTTATTAGACGAACCATTTACAAGAAATTAATGTGGATGCTTATATATTGAAAAATGCATAGGTTTAACATTTACCATCAATAACAACTAAAAAAACAGCTCACCTGTATTTCGTTTGGGAATGTCGGCAAGAAAACTTGTATTCTACCAAACATGTCAACTCCTTAAATCAGAATTGATGTTTGCCTCATATGAGGCAATCTAACATACAAAAGTAATTAGGCCAAAATTAGAGGCATTAAGGCATGTTTTTAATTTATATAATGATTGAACTCAACCAAGACAAAGGTCAGGGAACCACAAAATTCTCTTCTGATCTTAGACTCATCCTTTCATTCAGCAAGAACCCAAAAGCAGTTTAAAATATTAAGTCTTCAACACCAAGGGAACACATTTCACAATATAAACATCAGTATCCACATAAGCTCATACCTTTAAATAGAGAATGTTATCTTTCTATAGCTTCGACTATTGATTCCTCGTCATCTTCCTGAAAGAAGATCAAATACAAACAAAAAAAAAGGTATTACTCAGTTTGCAGCACCTCATATAGATTTCCTTGTCTGATTTCCACAAGTAGGGCCATGGCTAGAAAGTGGACAGAAATTTTTTTACCAGTTATACAGGATACTGTAAATTAAGAAAGATCTGATATAGAATATTTATGATGCCATGATTTATGTGGTACATATGTGCATGCCACTCCATCTTTAAACAGACGCCATCCAAGCATCCAATTGCCAGGATACTTGCCTGCTGCTACCCACAACGAAGCTGCCTCAGCGTTCAAACTTTTGTTTAGTATTTGAATTTCAAAACACTGTATTTAAGTTTATGGAATCAAGTAGCTTCTATAATCGTTTTGGATAAGATTAAGGTTTTGTTTGAGCAAGCCAATCACGACAGAGTTACAGGTTGGTCCAAGATATAATCTTCGGGACCGCAGTACTATTGGGCCTGCTGACAAGTATGGTTTTCCATCTGTGAATGCTGTTGTTGATGAACCCTCCACGTATCAAGAAGCTTCCAGCATCCCTGAATGGCAGCTTGCAATGTGTGAGGAGCTTGCTGCCCTTGATCGTCAAGGGACCTGGGATCTTGTTCCATTACCATCACATGCAGTGCCAATCACATCTAAGTGGGTGTTCAAGATTAAGAGAAAATCTGATGGTTCTATAGAGAGATATAAAGCTAGACTTGTTGCAAGAGGTTTTCAGCAGGCTCAAGGCCGTGATTATGATGAGACATTTGCACCCGTTGCTCATATGACTACCGTTCGTACTCTGATTGCAGTGGCTGCCACTTCAAACTGGGCTATCTCTCAGATGGATGTTAAGAATGCTTTTCTTCATGGTGACTTGAATGAAGAAGTTTACAGGTAGCCACCTCCAGGTGTTGATGCTCCCTTAGGATATGTTTGTCGTCTTCGTCGTGCCCTATATGGTCTCAAACAGGCTCCTCGTGCTTGGTTTGAGAGATTTGTTTCTGTGATACGAGCTGCTGGTTTTTCAGCTAGTGCTCATGATCCTGCTCTATTTATTCACCTCTCTCCACGTGGGCGTAGTTTGCTCCTTCTATATGTTGATGACATTTTAATTACTGGAGATGATGTGGAACATATTTCCCATGTGAAGAAGCAACTTGGTGTGCAATTTCAAATGTCTGATTTGGGTCCTCTTAGTTATTTCTTGGGCATTGAGATTTCACATTCTGCCAATGGCTATTACCTCTCTCAGTCAAAATACATACATGACCTTATTGTTCGTTCGGGCATTACTGATAATCGCACGGCTGCCACACCTATGGATATGCACTTGCAACTTCGTGCTACTGATGGAACGCCTCTTCAGGATCCTTCTCGCTATCGGCATCTTGTGGGCAGCCTTGTTTATCTTACTGTTACTCGACCTGACATTGCTCATGCTGTTCACATTCTAAGTCAGTTTGTGAGTGCTCCTACTTCTGTTCATTTTGGCCATTTGCTGCGTGTGCTACGTTATTTAAGGGGGACATCATCTCGATGCTTGTTTTATGCTTGCGATAGTCCACTTCAGCTTCATGCTTATTCAGACTCCACTTGGGCAAGTGACCCCATGGATCGCCGCTCTATCACAGGCTATTGCATTCTTCTTGGTTCTTCTCCTCTTGCATGGAAGTCCAAGAAACAAGCTGCTGTCTCTCGCTCTAGTACCGAAGCAGAACTTCGAGCACTGGCTACTACCACTGCAGAGATTGTATGGCTTCGATGGTTACTCGCTGATTTTGGTATATCTTGTGATGCACCCACACCTCTTTTGTGCGATAACACTGGAGCCATACAAATTGCCAATGACCCTGTCAAACATGAGCTTACTAAGCATATTGGTGTTGATGCCTTTTTCACTCGTTCTCACTGTCATCAGAAGACAATTGATCTTCAGTATGTACCCTCTGAGCTGCAACTGGCTGATTTTTTCACGAAAGCCCAAACTCGAGAGCAACATCGGCTTCATTTGATCAAACTCAATGCTTCAGATCCTCCGCTTCCACCTTGAGTTTGAAGGGGGGTGTTAAGTGTATATCAAGGCCCATCCTATAGGCCCATATAGCCCATGTGGCTCTCTATATATATATGGCCATCTCCACTAATTGAGACATCTTCTGTCATTTCTAAGGTTAGTCACATTAGCTAATAAAATAACAAATAGCTAATTCAGATTTCAAGCCATGTGTAGGTATGAGCTATACTTACACTCGTCCCCCCCAAGAACTTCGACAGCCTCCAAGAACTTTTCATGGAGCTCAATGGTCCATGTGATCCGATTCCGCTTCTTTGGCTCTTCATATCCATTGCTTTCAGGATCGGATAAATCGTTTCCCTCTAGGATAAGCACTTCCTTGGGCTTTTCAGTAGATGATGAAACCATTCCATTTCTGGTACTATTAAGAGTTGGTTCTTGAGGTGCTGCCTTTTTAGACTTGTGTTCCAGTGCTTGGTGCCACAGAATGCTGAAGCTTCTTCTGTCCAGTGGCTTCAGCACATGGAAGCATGCACCCAGGTTCATACATTTGGAAAGTGCCTCTTCATCGTCACAAGAACACATTGTGTCAACAAGGAGGAATAACCCTTGGACAGTGAGTTTGGGATAGGTGAGAAATTCTTAAAAAAATAGGGCTCCAAATATAAACTCTTACCGGTAATAGGGACTTGAAGTTCACTCAGTATGTAATAATGGAGCAGACCAGAGTTTGCCGAAGTGCCTGGTGCCATAATGTTAAGATTAACCTCCACCAATACCAAATCAACCTCCGCATCTTTAGCAGCCCCGCGTTTAACGAAATCCAGGGCCGCACTTGCTGTTTGGAAGGGGAAAACTATGCAGCGATAAAGGTAATAAAATTAAAATATTTGGAAAATTCATACCACAGTGTATGTAGCACTATTCTACAATTAATGGACACTGCACTTGACAAATAGGCCCAACAAATAATTTTTAATTAGACTCCTAAACAAAACTTCATGGTGGGAAATTCCAGCAAGACAGCACTTTATTTCAATGGTAAGTTGACCTGTATTTGGACTGGTGCACAACAAAAGTTAGTAGAGAGATACAGGAGATATGGTGACTTAAGCAATACATGAGAACCCAAAGTCAAGACTATATTTTTCTATGCAAAAGCTTCTAACCATGTTGCTTTCAGGGTGTCACACTCTTTGAGGTATGAGGAATTAGTTTTAAAGAAAAACCTAGTATGAAACTGGGTAAAACATACTAACAGATGCATGCAAACCTCTACTGTTCTATTTCTTCCTCTTTGTTTCGGATTTGTAGCGTCAAATTTGACATGCTAAGTATGGATGCAATTTCAGGAACCACTGAGTATCAAACTGTGATGGCAGTAATTGCCACAGCACCTGGTTTTGGAATGTCCGTGGGGCATTTACATATTTACCATTATTACGGATGTCATCTTAACATGTGTCACTGACACATGAGTCACTGACATGGTATTTTATATACCACTCACCTCGTAATGATGGTACAAAAGAACATGCAGAAAATGAGGGCAAAGGACAACAAAATCGCATTAAATGAAGCCATGGCGGATTCGGTGCCATTAGTTAGTATCATAACATAATAATATAGCAGTCCCCTGGGACACGAATATATGTCATACTACAGCTACACCTGCTACTGCTACAGAGTGAACTGTACACTTTAAAAGTTGCTGCTGCACAGAGTCAGTGGATTGTACACTTTAATAGTTGCTATGCAGCAGGCCCCTTTTAAAGTGTACAGTGGAGTGTGCAGCTGCTGCAAAAGGCTGGATAGTGCAGCAGATTATCTCACAAATCTTCCCCTAATCCTGCTGCCTCTACTCCTTGGTCTTGAGCTCCACCATGCCAATCTTGTTCTTCAACCGAAGGCGCCCAAGTAGCTTGGTGAGGATGTCCGCGAGCTGTCGGCCGGTCTCGACGAACTCGAGGATGATCTGTCCTCCATCGATGCAATCCCGAAGGAAATGAAACTTGACGTCGATGTTCTTGGCGAGGGCGATGGCGGACTGATTGTCCACCATCAGAGCTGGCGGACGAGCTTCCTCGCCGGTCAGCTCACCCAGCAGCCGGCGCAGCCAGACCGCCTGGCACGCCGTTGTGGCCGCCGTGACGTACTCCGCTTCACACGTAGACACTACCACCACCACCACCTTCTGTGACTGCCATGAAATCGAGGCCAAACCAAGGGAGACGAGCACGCCAGAGGTGCTCTGCCGTCCATCAATGTCGCTCGCCATGTCAGCATCGCTGAAGACTGTGAGCCACAGCCCACCTCCGTTGTCGGTCTTGGGGAGTGCCTCGCTAAAGACTGTGAGCCGCAGCCCACTTCCGCCACCATGCTTGGGGAAGACGATCCCCTGATCAACCGTCCCCTTGACGTAGCGCAGCAGCTGCTTCACCGCAATCCAATGATCCTCACGAAGATCCTCCATGAACCGACCGACATACTCGACCGCAAACGTGATGTCTGGTCAGGTATGAGTCAGATAGCGCAGCCCGCCGACGATGCTCCGGTAGCGCGTCGCGTCCACCTTCGCCACAGTGCTGTGCTTTCACAGCTTCAGCCTTTCCTCCATTGGAGTCGCGCACGGCTTGCTGTCCGCGATGCCGCCACGTTCCAGCAGCTTCTCTGCGTAGGCGCGCTAGCCTAGGCAGATGGAGTCGCTCCCTTGCTTCACCTCGATGTCGAGTGTTAGACAGTAGTATGTCATGCGTATGTGTGGGTCCAGCGCTAGGCTGCTTAGCCGATCGGCCTTGGTTTGTTTAGTCAGAGAGATGAGAGGAGTAGAGAGATGTGAGATCTTAGAGAGAGTAGAGGTGCAGAGAGGTTGTACGAGATCTTGACTGGTGTTACTTCTATGAACCACAAGATCTCCTCACCCTCACCTATATAAAGCTCCCCTTCTCTGAATCAATCGATCATGCAATTCCACGCAATCTCTCCTTTCACCAAGGTAGTAGGAGAGCTGGCCGAGATCACTCATGCGGAACCAAGCCGCCATCTCGCGCTTGAAGCCGTCGATGTCCTCCGCGCGCTTGACGATGAGGTCGTCTACATACATGGCGACGACGAGCTCCTCCTTCCCCCGTCGCCGCGTGTAGAGCGCGAGCTCCGTTGCGCAGCGTGGTGTCGAGCTTGGCGTTCCACGCCCGTGGTGCCTGCCTCAACCCATACAGGGCCTTGCGCAGCTGCAGCACCTTATGCTCAGCTCCCTTGATGGCGAAACCCGGAGTTTGCATGACAAAGACCGTCTCTGCCAGTTTGCCGTTGAGGAAGGCCGACTTGACGTCCAGGTGATAAACGGCCAGTCCTTCACCGCCGCCAAGGCAAGCAGCAAGCGGACCGACTCCATGCGCGCCACCGGCGCAAAGACTTCCTCGAAGTCGATGCCCTCGCGCTGGACAAAGCCGCGAGCAATGAGACGCGCCTTGTGTTTGACGATGGAGCCGCGCTCGTCCCGCTTCACCTTGTACACCCACTTTAGCCCGAATGGACGGCAGCCTGGAGGTGCATCAACAAGCTCCCATGTCTCATTGTCCTCAATGGCCTTCATCTCCTCCAACATCGCCTGCCTCCAATTGGCATCCCGCTCGGCCTGCCTGAACGTGGGTGGCTCCTCTGCCCTGACAAGGAGCAGCTCTAGATCATCGAGGAGTCAGCTTGCAGTGCCACCGAGTCGTCGACGAGGTTGTCCATCTTGCGGAAATGCACCTCACTCACCGTCGTGGAAGGCGTCCACGTAGTTGTCGATGTCGCTTGGAGGAGAGGTGAACTCGTCCGGCGTCACCGGAGGTGTCCCTGTCCTACTGCAGCAGGGGACAGTGGTGGTGGCGTGTGCGCGGTTGCTGGTGGAGATTGCTCGCCAGCGCTTGCCATGGCCGGACTTGGCGGCTCACCGGTGCCGCCACAGTTGCTGGACTTGGCGCGTCCACAGCTAGCTCCTCTGCTCCAGCATCTCCGCTGCCACGGATCACCAAGTGCTCGATGACGATTGTCCCACCAACGCCACGGGCTTTCCCCATGCCCAGATTCTCCCAATCTCAGGCTGTCATTTCGTCGAACACCACGTCCCGCGAACCCACCACCTTGCCTCCTCTCGGATCATACTGCTAGTAGGCCTTGCAGCCCTCCTCATAGCCCAAGAGCACCATCGGAGTGCTTCTATCGTTTAGCTTGGTGAGTTTCGGCTTCATCTTCTTGACATGGCCAATGCACCCGAACGTCCTGAGGAAGGAGACGTCGGGCTTCCTCCCGAACCAAGCCTCGAACGGCGCCATGCCCTTCAGGCTCTTGGTGGGCGCGCGGTTGAGGATGAACACCGCCGTGCTCACCGCCTCTCCCCAGAACTCCGCCGACATGCCCTTCGCCTTCATCATGTTGTGAGCCCCACCGCACCACCACGCTGTTCTGTTGCGGCGAGTACGGCGTGGTGTGATGGCACACCACCCCCTGATCCATGCAGTCACGCGGCGAACTCCACGGAAATGAACTCGCCACCGCGATCTGTCCTCGGCACGCGTAGCTTCTTTCCAGACTCCGCCTCAGCCCGCGCCTGGAACCGCTTGATGAGTTGCAGCCACATGTAGCGGTTGTAGTCGTCCATGGGCAGCAAGAAGTAGCACCGCCGCCGTGCGTGACTGGCGCGATAGGCCCGCGAGGTCGCCATGGACGAGCTCGAGCACGTTCCCCACGCAATACTTGGCCGACTTTGGAAATGGTTGCCTCCTCTGCTTTCTCACCAGGCAGCTGTCACACAGCTTCACCGGCGTGCTCGAGGTGGCGCAACCCTCACACCATCTTCACCAACCGCCCGAGCGCGTCGAAGCTCAAGTGCCCGAACCACGCATGCCACAGCCATGGCTCCTCGGTGTGCCGCGCCGCCAGGCACACCAGGATGCTCCACCTTCAAATCGAGCAAGTACAACCGGTTACGTGAGCGTTGTACTTTGGTGAGAAGACGCTACTCCAGATCCCGAATCCTCAGCACGCCGCTCTTGACAAGCACTTCACACACATCCGTCAGCGCGCGGTGCTCCCCGTTCTGGCATCGGAAGATGATGGTGCCACGGCCTCGAATCTCCACCTTCGAGCCATCACCGAACTTCACCGACCCCGTCACGCCGCCGTCGAGCTCGGAGAAGGCCTTTTTGGAGCCGGTCATGTGGTTGCTGGTACCGGAGTCCAGGTACCACCTCTAGCTCCATGCCACCGCCCACTCGTCCAAGGTGGACTTGGGCATGCGACTCGTCGAGGTGGATGGCCTGCGATGCCTTCCCTTACTCCGCAACGCCACCTCCTCCGCCTCCAACTCTAGCTTGACGTCATGCAGCGCACAGAACGTCGTCATAAGGAAAGTAGGCTCGTCATCGTCCACCTACGCGAGATGCGCCTCTGCCTTCTTCCCTTCTTGGGTTCTTGCACTCCTTCGCCCAATGGCCAATCTTCCCTCAACGCCGGCAAGCGTTCTTGTCAAAGGGCTCGTTGTCTTTCTTCTTCTGCGGGCCTTGCCGCGGTGCTTGCCGTCACCGCCGCGACTGGAGGAGCCTTCCCCGGACTGCTTCTCCCGCATCCGGGCCACCCACTCCTTGGTCAGCAGCAACTTGCCGCCGGCCTATGTCGTAGTCGCCTCTGTGCAATCGTCCACCGCCCGCAAGCGCCCAGTCACATCCTCAATCGTGAGGGTGGACATATCGATCAGCATCTCGATGAGAGAGCGTGATCTGGG